ATATATATATATATATATATATATATATATTCATTTACGTGCACGTGCGCATACATATGTATATATGCGTGCGTATACACGGTAGTACTTACATTTTTAAGGCGTTATTTGCTAAAGAAGGTTTGGAGGCTTTCTAAGGCAACCGCAACGGCTGCCGGTCGCTGGCTGTACGGCAATCTGCATGTGGCTGGTGTTGGTGCGGGGTGTTTGATCAGGCGTATATCCTTGTAATTTAAACTACCACCAATGTGCGCTATTCTGCGTTGCTGTGTACGCGTACGTGTCACAGTGGGATGTGGGTGCATGCGCTTTTGGCACTGCCTTCACGGGAGGAGTTCCAGTGGGGGGTGCAACAAACTTGCAGATGGTGCCCGCTTTCTCCCTAAGCACCAAGAGCCTCAGCGGCTGCATTTGGAATACCTAGAGGAAGACGAGGGGAAAACAATCAGTTTTAGGGACGTTGCCTGAAGCTTTTGAGCGTCCCAGCGGCGTATGTGGGTCCTGCGCTCAGGCCACAGGGCCACCGACGGATGCTGGCTTCACCTAGGGGCTTAGGCTTAGTGCTCCGCATACTTCGGCAAGACATTAGCGGCCAATGTACCTCACAATCCCCCTTCTTTTGCCTAGGAAGGCTCGAATCGAACTGGACCGGAAGAAACGTTGTCGATAGTAGTAAAGGCTAGCCTAGAGACAAGCAACGTTAGAACTAGCACCCCGCTTGCCGCTTGCCTGCTCACGTCTGTGCCACTGTACATTCCACCATTGGGCTTGGTCGCTGATATCCTGACTGACTATAGGCACAAGTTGTTAGCTCACTTCGGATCAGTTGGCAGCGAGAACGCCAATCTCTGGACATGCCGCCGGCAACGTGTGGGTAGAAAATGGGAGCACTACGCATTTTTGAATTACTCCAGGGATCGGAGCTTTAGTCGATTACTCCAGGGATCGGAGCTTTAGTTGGAACTAAAGAAGAAGCATTTAGTAGTATGGGCTGCTGGAAGTACTCAGCCTTAACTGAATTACGGCAAAGTGTATCAAAAGTGTGTGGGGTGGGACTACGAGGCGGAATTAGGTATCAACTAGGGCATGATTCTTCCCGAATGAGAAGACACTGGCCCCGCTAGGTGGCAGCCCTAATAGATTCGCCGCTCATTGTAGCCGGGAAAGCGAACGAATTCCTGCCTTTGCTGAGTGGCCTTTGGGATCAGAGTGTTCAACTACATTAATAACGGTAGGGTTACTATCAGTAAGTGCGGGGAGCAGTCCGTCCCTGCTGCCGTCAATGAGACCACCAGATAAACAGTAGTTGGCTGCAGATATCCAATGCGGCGTATACAAACCCGTGGAGTGTCCAGAGTGACGGAGCTCTCTCTTCTTCACACACTAAGTCAGGTAACTATACACAGCTTGCGAACCCTATTTGGACAACTCAGCACTACTGTGCTTCCCCAGGTTCGCATTACTACTCAGGAATTGCTGACGCATTCCTCTATTCGGCTGGCGGGACCACTGCCCACGCGCGCACTGACGTTGACTGGGGGCAGCAGCAGTGTGCATACTTGCCTACTGGGTTGATAAGTCCGCCTTCACAAGCGGCTCCCAAGTTGCCTGCAGGGAACAGAGCGCCGTCCCCGATTAATGGCAACGCCACTGGGCGTACTCGCCAGAATGAGCCCCTGGTAGGCAACATGGCGAAACGTGATCCCCAAATGCCATCCTCCCCTATTTCCCTGTCATTTCCCTCTTCGTTTCTTCGCTAGGGGCTACCAAGCACACGAGGGATTGTGCCGTTTGACGGAAAGTGCGGCGGGCAGATGCTGCATGGTGCGTGTGAACTTCGTGAGTGGATCCCTACTGGCGTGCATGCTGCCTACTCAAGGCCAAGCCAATTGCTCCACAACTGCCTACACGGTTAGCGCATGCAGCCAGTGGGGCTTGTTCGTGATAGCACATCGAGCTGCCTTGCAGCACTTGTTGGGATGAGGTGCCCTATAGCTAGATGACCGGCCGGCTCTTCTTCGGAGCAGCATCAGGCCCTTGGCCGCTGTGCCGATGACGACTGAGGACGTAAGGAGAGTTCAGAAGCTTTTAACGTGTCCCTATTGGCTCGAGTGGAACTCACGACGGCCATCCGAAAATATCGCGGATCTCGTTGCATTCACAATGTTGCCCAGGAAAGCATTGATGTGCATTCAAAAATACATCACAAAGGCCACTTATCTTTTTAAAGGGTTGCTTGTACACAAACCACACACATAAGGCTGCCCGCAGCGCTTCAAAAGCAAACATTGCTCAAGCCCACTCTTCGCCTTGCAACTGGAGGGTGATGCAAGAATATCCCAGCAGCGGCTCAAGCGTACGGTGTGAAGCAGAATTCAGGCATAAATGGCAATGTTAATTACTACATTGTTCGCGAGGGAAGCGGAGCTGCAATAGGAAGTGATGTCTTTTGACCTCGTTGATCGGCGGGGGGGGCTGGCGGTTCATTCCTCCCGCCAGGCCGCTCTCGCGGAGCCGTATTTGTTTGGGCGGGCCTGTGTCTGTGCTGCAGTTGGCGTTTTCTTCCGTTCTTTCTTACTACTTTTTTATAGATCTCGAAAGAGACTAAATAATAAGCGCCGCTGTTTAGTATCCGGGTCATATATATTGAGGGGATCTCCTAACTGCCCCCACAGACGCTTGTGAAGCCTGAAGAGGTTCCAGCACCGAATTCCAGGTGACAGGCGAATCGAAGAATTTTGTTTTATCGCAAGCCTAGCGCTAACGGACTAGCTTAACGCCAAACCGCTGCTAAATACAACAGGTTGGTTGGCGGTAGTTCTGCATCGGAGCCGGACGCGAGCGAGCAGAGCACGGCAGCGCCGCTCGCCGCATGAACCGGCTTGATTTATCTTATTTCTGTTTTTTTTAAACAAGTTGTTTAATAATAGGCATTTGCGGCTCCATCACTTCTTGCACCGCGGGGCGCTTTTATCAGCACGATGGGGCGCGCAACTCACGCCTCCTGCACTGTCGCTATAGCTGCGATGACAGCTCTCGTGCATCTTTCTTTGCTGCCTGCTTTTGCTGTTTCCTCCGGCATAAAGCCCATTATTGGAATGGAAGGCAGCTCACGTAGCTCTCTCTTTGAGGAGCAGCAGCTCACCCGTGCTGCGCCCTCCGAAGGAGCAAGCCTCGCGGCTTCTTCTTATTTGTTGCCGCAGGCTGTAAGGCGTCGGAGGACAACCACTGCAATCTTCCCCGCCTTGACGAACTTGGCTTTGTTGCTTTCTGTCGCGGCCATAGTATTTCTAGCGATCAGGTGCTCCCGAATCGTGCAAAACTCCCTGCACTCCTCCTCCGGGGGGTCGCTCAGTCGCTCCCTCGCTGCTGAAGATTCGGTTTGTGCGGCAGGAGGCGATTCAGAGGCCTCTGGCTCTTCTAGTGGGGAAAGTTTGGATATTGCTGGGGCAGGGGCGGCCGCTGCCGGTACAACAAGAGGGCGTCGCCGTGACCATCCACTGACGAAACAGGCGCAAATTTTGACTCTTTCAGATGGGGATAAGAAGGGGATGACAGAAGAGGAAATGAAGTTGGTTGATGAAGCTCTCAAGGTCCTGCTGGGTAGCAGGGAAAAGGTTGAGTCGCGCAGGAGGCGGAAAGAAGAGGCGCTGAAGCTATTGAAGGAAGCAGAAGGGGAAGCAGGAAGTCTAGGGGAGTCTACGACGCGTCATTCTGCGGACATTGTCGTGCAAGAGGCTGTGAATTGGCTTTTGGGGACTCGGCAGAAGGACTACATAAAGGCATCCCAGTCGGCCACGCAGGCGGAGGAGGAATTAGCTGGCATGCAGTTTACTGTGCCGCAGGATAGAGCAGCGCTTATTATCCTTGGAGAGTCATTTGGGGGGCGTAACATTAGCCCTTTAGGCGCTCGGGCGGTTGCTGCGGCGAGGAGTGTGCTAGGGATGAACAGCCGCAAGGGGGAATCGCCTTCCCTAACGGATGTGGATGTGGGGAGAGCTATGCAGTTATGCTTGTGGTATCAGGCGTTGTTGGGGGCCCAGGAGGCTCGGCATAGACGGGGGGGGGGCCACCGAAATCCAGATCCTTCGGTGATGGATCTCCTCAAAAAGGTCAGCGTCTTGACTGAGATGCTAGGCAACAGTGGCATGTCCACGGCGGCGGAAATGTTGGCACAAGCTCAAGAGAGCGCGCAGGCGGCCTTATGGAGCGCCTTCTGGCCCGGAGGGGAGCCAGTAAAAGCAGGAGGAGATGCAGCGAAAAAGAGAAGGCCCACGCTTCGAAAGGCCGTCTCCTTAACGACACCTTCCCCACCACCTGGCCCCCCCCCAAGGTCCTTCTCCGCCCGTGCGGTGGGTGAGAATCCGCACGTGGGTCCAAAGAACGGGACGAGACGGCCTGTTGCGGTCCCGGTGGGCGGACAGTCTATTCACTTCTCGGGGCCCGCTGGTACTGGAGGGGGCACTGACCGGCGGGGGCGGCCCGCGGCAGAGGAAGCAAAAGCACAGACTGCCGTCCCTCCCCTCCCTCCGAAGCGTGGTGCGAAGAAGACAGAGGAGAGGGGAAAGGCAGCGGGGTTGCAGGAAGGCCAGGGGCGTTTGCCTGGCGCAGCAGCAGAAGGCAGAACCATCCCTCCTCCCATTCCTCCCAAAGGTGCGGAAAAGCCAAGCAAGCAGCGAGGCAAGGCGGGGGAGCAGCCAAGCCAGGCGAGTTCGCCCGACACGCCAGCAGCCTCAGCAGCATCAGCAGCGGCAGCAGACGTTACTGATGGTGGCATGGATGGTACTGCTCGGGCTGAAGGATTCGTGGATAGCGGGCATAGGGAGGCCGTGAAGTTGTTAGACGCCACAATGGGGTCGATAGTTGACCATATTGACTTCCAGACGACTAATCTGCTAGGGTTGTGCGCGGGAGGCACGAGTGAAAGTAACTTGGGGAGAGCAGATACTGCGCTGCGGCGAGCAGGGCTGCTTTTAGGATCGGCGAGATCGATCCGCCCGCACCAGGCTTTGAGCACCGGCATGAAGGATTCCTTCTTTGATGCTGTACGAAGGCTTTCCGATGCTTGTGGCGCTGCGCTGGGGCTGTTGGGAGATACTTGGAGAAAGAGGATGGACGACCACGCCAGACAACTTCGCAAAAAGATGGAGGAGTTGGAGGACATGCTGAGAGGGCCCACCCCCGTGAATCCTCCAGCCTCAGATGATCCTCTCCTTTTGAAGATCTTGGAAGTACATACAGGTTCCCAAGCGGCATCGAGACATGCCACGAATGCACAGCGTGTTTGCTCCGCGGTTACAGAGGTGCCGCAGAGAGTTAGTGAGGGACTTTCAGGCCTACAGCAACAGGCGGAGAGTGCCCAAGAAGCTGCCAAGCAAGCTGGAGATACCTGCGCCCACCGATGGATTGGTTGGCTTATACAAGGGGGGCATGAGTTCGATAATTCTCCGCGAACTCGCGGGTCTACTGAAGAGTGGGAGGAGGGACGCAGAAAGCAACTCGGTTCCCTCCTCGACCGCGCAGACGAAGTAGGACGACTGCTTTACGGCGTCTGCGGCTCCTCCGCCTCGGTTACGGTGCTGTTTGAAGTCGTGGGTCAAGGCAGGGACAAAGTGACTAACTGCGGAAAGGAGGATGGGGGGGGGGAGGGGGAGGAGGCGCAAAAGCAACAGCAGTAGGTGCATGCTGCAGTGTGCGCAGCGGGCGAACCACGAAGGTGAACGGAGACAGGAAGAAGAAAGCCTAACGGAAGTGATGACGAGGACTGAAGAAGGGGGGGAAGGAGATGATGAAGGGACGCCGGCAAAGCCCGGGAGTAAAGGCGCAGCGATTTTCGAACAGGAGGCAGAATACGTACGCTTGGGCGTAGAAGTGGTCAAGTACCACTCGTTAGCTTGTTGCCTGCCGCCTGTATCATGAATGGTAATAAATGTACTTCCGATTGATTTTTCATGTGCGCGCTTGTGCGTATTTTGTTTACACTTGCTTCGAATAGCGTGCGTCCTTCCGCCACTTGCTGCTATCGGCGCGAGAATATGCGGGGACGCTGCAGGGCGGAGAAAAGCAGTGGAATATATTAGTTGAAAGCGAATTCGAGTAGACCTGCGGCCGACGTGATTGTTCGCTTCAGTGGGGGAAAAGCGGGGAATAATGCGTAGAACAATATAAACCAGCACACAGGTGCAACAAACGAAAGCAGCGTGCGTGTGTGTTTGCGTGTGTTCGTGTGTGCGTTCTTGCGTGTGTTCATACGTGCTTCTTATCGGATTATGGTGTGTGTACCAACTTTGGTTCTTGTGTTTTATTTGCGATCGCGTCCAAGTGGATGTATTTATTGGGTGCTTACGGGAGTGATGAGCAGCACCGAATCCGTTTTTATGCTTATCTGAGTCACCACCAGTCGCTTCAGTTTCAGTTGTATAGTATAAATGTTTTATTAGGGGGCCTTCTGATTCATTTGAATGGTTCATTTGAAGCGAAACCACACGAAAATGATTGAGCGGTTATCTTCAAGAAGACACGCCTTAGTTTGTTTTTTCACAGCCTGTTTGTGCAGCGCCGCTTTCTCTTTCTTCAGTCTGCGCACAGCAGATATTATATTAGCGAGTACGCGTTTTCTGGCTTCACCAGAGGGTACTTTTACCCTTTGGTTTCTCTAGTGCCGTTGGGTACTCCTTGCATCGAGCCGCAAATAAGCGCATTTGAATTAGCAGCTCTGACTTGTGCGGCCGTATGGTTATTATTGCCGTAAAATAGTAGCAATGCTTGGTATACGTAATACATGTTTATTATATGTATTATGTTATTTTTTTTATTTCCGTGGACTCATTTTTTTATGCGGATTTTTTGGCAAAAACATGCAGCGACTCATTTTATAATGATCCCGGCGGCGCTTTTTGCACATCACAATGATTATCCTTAGGCAGCGAGTTTTTCAGTTTCCAGGGTTTGCCGGACTGCGTACATAGCAAGTTGAAGTTGCACAAGAGGGACGACAAGAAGTAGCGCGGTCGGGAAAAACCCACCTCATTTTCCCTGTTCTTGGATTGAGGGGTCGCTACACAACGAAGAGACAGGCACTACATACACCAGATGTGAATTAAACAAGCATGTTTTATCTGTAATCTGCAGGGTTTAGGGTTTAGTTTCATGGGTTTCCTTGAGTTCGCCATGACTCGCTCCGCTTAAAGCACTATTTGTCGTAAAATTGCGCTACCTCGGCTTTTGGAATACACCTGAACATGCATGGGACAGCATGCACAAAAAGACTAATTGTGCAGTACCTGAAGCTTTGACTTTGCTGCACAGCACGTGGAACGTGGAGTGAAAGGCACATTTTCCACCGCAAGTTATTCTGGGAGCCGCTGACACGATGCATCGTCCGACTGCTGGCCAGCAATCTTTTATAATAAGTCAAAACATATAGGAAAAACAACTAAGCAAGAGCATGCAACAGTGCGTGCGATGAGAGGACAAACACGCAGGAGAAACAGATATTTTCGCAAGAAAACCGGCGGGGGATGGGGGAGGGGCTGCCTTCATCCACTGCGTAGGCGGCGATGCGCAACCCAGTAAGGCAAATTACTAAAACACATGAGGTGCGCAGCAACAGAAACAAACAGGGCAACACAGGCAAAACCCTAAACGGTAATGGAGCAACTCATACACATCTGGGTTTGCTGAGAATGGATTCTTGAGGCGTTCAGTTAAATTCGAATTCATGGTGGCGTCGCGGCATTAGCTTTTCTGCTAGCCGCATTTACGAAGTATCTGCACCGCCGTTTTCTCTCGTGCTAAGTTGGACTACTGCCTCATATACTTTTTTGTGGTGTAAAACTAACCTGTTTCATAGGTTATCTATTGTCACATTTCCTATTAACGGGTGAGGAGTCCGATATTCGGAGAGGTCTGCGTGTCCGCGATGGGAACGGCTGCTATCGAAGGGTTAAAAACCAACTTCGCTATACAGGCTTGGCTACCACAAGCCATTTCTCTCTGTAGTAACTTTTCCAACACCTATAGACGAAAATTTCTCAGACGAAAAGGACCAATGGGCCAAGATTTCACAATTTTGTACTCAAAATCAATGACATGCAAGCTTCCGTCCTTTTGCTCATGAGGTTCGTTATCAGAACGCTAGAACACCTGCGCTATTATTTCACAGGTGAGATCCCCAAGTGAATGTGCTTTCCGCATTGAGCAGCACCTGAAGGCGCACGCTCTGGCGGGAGCAGGTCGAGCATGCGCCTCAACTTCGCGGGAAGAGTAAATGGACACTGAGGATAATAGAATATCACGACTGCCGATGTTGCTACCTGTGCGAAAAACACCCCCTTTTCTGCTCAACAAGGTTGGAATAGAGTGAATCTCAACGAGGTCTTTTCTCCTCGCTGATACCGTCAAGCCCGTTCTATTGGCTGTGGCTAGGCGGGGTTCAGTGGATAGGGACAGTACGAGCCGAGTTAATCCAATCGTGCACGTCGTTAATTTGAGGACGGGGAATTTGGCTAGCGGGCCTCCCAGCGCACCGTTAGCGATGAATGCATCTAGCATAGCCATCAAGTATGGGGGCTCCACACAACCAACAACAATACTAGACGAGCACGGCAGGGGAGTTACTGATCTCGTTCAAACTTAGTAAAAACTGCCTGATGATCTAATGAAGTAGTTGTACACAGCCACACTCGGTATTAACGCGGGAAGAGAAAGGAGCGTGAGACGGTTGGCACTCGGTTAGGGTATGCCGTGGGAGCCAGTGCTCTCTCCTATCATTTTTAGGTAATCTTCTGGGGAAGCAGCTCATCCTTCTAAAGCCTAGTTTTGAAATGTATGACTTCATGGTCAAGCCCGCCTTAACCAGCGCCTCGTTGAGTATCATCACATTGCCATTCAGACCTCCGGGCAGGAAACATATGGCGCCAACACTGCGTGCGCCTATAGCAACGATTTGATATTATTTAGACAGGCTAATCCCCCCTTTTCCCTCTTCCTCTAAGCCTATTTAGACATTTAAATTCCGAGCTTTTCCCTTCAGCTCTGAGTCTTCTATTCGCTGTGCAGACCAGTGGTCACATGGCGGTCAGTGCCGACGGTCCACAGGAGCAACCATCACCACAGACGGGCCGGCGCAACTCCGACAGACGACAAACACGCCAGCGTCATTAACCCAGATCTAAGACCAAATCTTTTTCCCGAAACTACGGATCCATTTTGCTCAGCGTCTTGCTTCTGCCGGGCAGGGGCAGCTAACCTTGGGGAACTGACGCGGTTAATGGCTCGGCTAGATACGAGTAACAACTTCTCCGCATATTTTTAAGGCAGTCAGGAAACAATAACAACCAGCCAACCCAATCTTCTGATAATCTGACTCCAGGGGTATGGCTGTAAACAGTGTGCTAAAAGAAGCAAATGCAATGGTTCCAGGGCACCCCGTAAGTTGGTGAATTCACGCCACCGTACGGTATCCACGTCCTCGCTCAGGAACATTATCCTGGCTCCACTTAGCAAAATACAAGGGTGGTAAGACACCGAACATCCCGCAGTGGGGCTGTCACTTAGGGAAGGCATCTCCCTGCCCAGCTGCAGTTCACAGTATAGCTGAAAGGGAAGCGATTGAAGCCGCTGCATTGGGTCCAGTGGTCGTTTTGCTCTTTAGTGCCCGTTATAGGGGTTGGGAGCTTCTCGCTGCTCCTGTTTACTATCATCCCTGGAATTTGGCCAGCATCAGTGGTCACATGATTCTCCCCAAGGAAGGCAGGTCCATCGTGGGCCGTTATTCCCTTTGGGTTTGCGTTGTTTGCATTACTTTCCTCCTCATTCTGTCAAAAGAAGTACCAAGAAAACGGTTGCCCCGGGTTGTAAACTTGTTGAATTTGTCTGTACTCACGTACAGACAAAATCAACAAGTTTCATCATTGATAGACGGGCCCGCATAAGAATATACAGAGGAAAGGCCGTCGGTACAACGTATGCAATTTCGTATTACGGTTTCAGATGTGCACTAGCCCCCAGCGAATACACCAAACAGACTACCTTCGAAGGACTAAATGCACACGGATTAACTAGAGATATACAACTCTCCTATCAACAATTACAGAGGGGAATATCTCGCGGGGAAGCCCAATCAATGCGCAAACTAAGCAAAAATTGAAAGGCCTCTCTCTCTATATATATATATATATATCTAGATAAGCGGGGTGTAGATCAACATAACTACCTACGCAACTGCATAGCTGTAACTGCAAAGAAAAGACTAACGTAGCAAACAACGGCATGAAAAGGTCGGTCAACAGATACTGAAACAAAAAATCAGATTTTTGTTTAACATTTGCTTGTCGGATATCTTCAGTTCGCACGGCTTACCTGAGCCCCCACATGCTTACCCCTTGCCCCCCCTCTGCTGCTGCACTTGCTGCTACCTGTGCTGGTGCATGCGCTGTCGGGGCTCCATCCGTGTTGTCAGTTGCAGTCGCTGGGGTAGTGTAGAGCCGGAAGAAGCTGGAAGAATTTGCATTCCAGTTTGAGTTATACCCCACTTCATAGAGAAGCGAAATGCAGCTGTTGAGGGCCCCGCTTTGTTTAATCTCCAGGTATTTCCTGAAAACGAACTCTGCCACAAATAAGATAATTAAGTGGCGCTTCAGCTGTATGGACATAGGGGTACCTAACGTCGTAATAGCGTCCCCCACGATGTACATGCACATGCTAGCCACCATACGAACTGAACAGCTGCAGTTTGAAGATGCTTGGTTGCATAGAGGCCGCCGATGATTAAACATGCACTCAATTGTTGTTCAGATTTCTTTCCTCGCTGCACGCTCTACTCCACTGTCTGCTCGGAGCCAGCCAACATGTTCCATTCAACACCAGATGGAGCGAATACCTCAATACACCGGAAATTATTACTCTGAGAAATTGGTATAAAAACGTGCACAAAGAATAATATGCACTTACGTGCAAATCACACAAATACAATTCAACAGAAAGCAAGCATAACACTAAACAGAACACTCTTTGAACGTTAAAGCCGCGTCTGCGATACGATAACAGATAAGGAAGCAAACCAAAATCTCAAGCAGAACAGAACAGAGCAGAACATACAAAACAACTAAACAAAGGCAGAGGAGGAGATGCACTGCATGCATTCATCATATATAATGGCTCTCACTTAAACAGCCTGAGGGCAGTCTGGGCGTCTTCGATGGAGTCGTGAGTTCCGCTTTGTATTTCCTTTTGCAGCAAAACACCACTTAAGAACTTGAGAGACAAATACCTTTTTCCAGGAAGTCTGAACAACTCCACTGTATCAATCATTTGGCTCAAAGGCACGTACAAATTCATCACGCGAAAGTCATGCTGCAGTCCGTGGCCAACGAAACTGAACAAACGAACCACAGTTCAAGCAACATTTCAAACATACAAATTTAAAAAACTAAAACAAACAAGAGAAACAAATCCAACAAACAAATCCAACGAACACACTAAGCTAACAAAACGAACAAATCAAGCAAGCAAAACACACGAAAAGGACAACGAGAATCAACAAGCAAAAACGGACCAGACAAAACAGGCAAACGAAGCCGATGAAGCAGACAGATGAAACGAACCACACGACAAACCAAACAAACAAATCAAGCAACCAACCAGACCGAACACACAAATCAAGCAGACCAGAAGAAGGAGATCTAGCAACAAGGTAAAGAAATTGGCCAAATCATAGCAAACAAATCAAACCAACGACTGAAACCAAAACCAAACACATCCAACAAACAAAAAAATGGAACAAACAAATCAAGCAAACCAAACAAGTAGACGCTAACAGATATAATAAACTAATGCACTGCGTGGTGCTAATAAAAAGAACACTTTTCATTTCACATAGATCGTCTCAAGGTCACATCCACTGGGGTGCACAGCCGAGCTAAGAAAACCAAGTAAACGAGCGAAGACAAATAATACGGCAACTACAACAAACAAATAATGAATGACAACAACACATAGACAGCAATAAGAACAACAAATGAACAAATGAGGGGGGTAGTTGAACATACACCGTAGTTACACGACGGTGATATGCATGGAACACGTGTGCAACTCAGCAGAGGGCTCTCAACATCCCACTGATACTTAAATACAAAAGCCCTTACACAACCGAGAAAACAGATCTTGCCTTCAATAGCAAACAAGTATCCCCAATTGTCTGTATTCATCTCCTAAAGCAAGCAACTTGCTTTAAAAGGAAGGTGCAAGCGCATGCAGGCTGAATAAGAGTAGAAGCCTTCGTTTATACACCAAACAATACCGGATATACACTGTTGAGAACGAAGAACTTAAGACGGCCTTTTAAACAGCAGCACGTGTTCGTATGTACAGCTCAGCAGACGAAGTCTCCGAAAAAAATTTGCACAAAAAGGAAGAATCTTGGGGCATTTACAGAACCAAAACATTAATTTCCGCGCACGCATAATGCTGTAGGCCGCAAGATGGCGCAACGGACGTGAAGCTCAACGGCGCATGTTGGACTCGAAAAACGAATTCAAAGAGGCAATTCCAACGAATTCACTCGCATCAACTTGTGTATTCTTTCCATTCTTTCCGAGGCATCACTTAATGGAATAAGCGCAAACGATGCACTTGTTCTGGAGCAATAGAGAACAAATAAAGGAGAAAACAAATCGACTGGCCAGACGCAGATGCACCTGGATTAAAAAGATTACACATTTTGCACCCAAATGCTTAACTTATACAGGCGCACCAAGAATAAGGATGAAATGATACACTTGTAAAACATACACCGGAAAAGATAAAGCAATCAACAGAGCTGCAAACAGAAAACTTACACAACGTACATTCACTTGGAATAAAAAGTATAACGGTTTGCACACAAATGACATACTTGCACCGCCAAAGTGGAAAATGAAGTTGAATATAAACGAACTTGTGAAACATAAATGTGCACAGCTTTGAGTCCAAATGAACGTGTACGACCTACATGCACTTGGAATCCAAAAGGTAACGCAGTTTCTGCAACAGAGTTTTCCGCGTTGACAGCCACACTGTGGACTCTGTGAGACTCAAGTCTTCCAGCCGCAGGCCTGAAAACCTGTAGCAGTACATAAATAAGAAGGAAAAAGCAAAGAATAAAAATCAAATATAAAAACTTAGACAAAATCACGTCAAAGGAGAAAAAGATGGGTAAAGATTGAATGCGCCGAAATAAACTCAAAAGGTCAATCAATGAATGCGTACAAGAGAACAAAGCTCCAGCTGACTTGCAGAACAATAGGGCAATACGAAAAAAAGAAGCAAATAAATTCAATTGACGGAATATGTCGTCCATTCGCATTGAACTAAAACACTTCAGCCACGAAACACGAAAAAAGGAAGCAACGTGAGACCTTCTCGCCAGTGAGAAACAAGGCAAAAATAGCTAAAGAATGGCTGCAGGGGCTCCCAAGGATAAGATGAGGTAGGGGACCCAAGGAGAAGATCAGTTAGGGTTGAGAGTTTGAGCGGATGTGGGCTAGGCAGTGAATTCAAGCTTGAGAGTTTGCAGCACAAAGATGATCAGTGCTGCTGTGCAAGCGATCTAGGATCTAGAATTAGGATTTACGGCTCAGTAACAAGGATTCAAATTACAGCTAATGGCGCAGCACTAAAGCATATGCTTCCGCATTAGGGTTATGGGTTTAGGGTCTTGCACTGTGGTTTTGCGCTCAGAACTAGGGTTTAGGAATTTGAATTGGCTTTCAGTGTTTAGAATTGAGGATTTGGGTTTAGTGTTGAGGGCTTAGGGTTTACCGCGTCAGGCAGTCTTTAGGAGGCTTCCTGAACTGTACGTAATGATCAACAAAGGGAACCCCCTCTAATGGCCCCTGGCCTCGCACCAGACTCAGCCTGGACTCACAAATTTTAACCCCTAAACCCTAAACCCTAAACCCTAAACCCTAAACCCCAAACCCTGAAACCAGAGAGCCTTACGCCTACGCTGCTGGCATTCGACGTCAGAAGCCGTGGTTTGAGCTTCGAAGACCCTAAGCCCTAAAACCTAAACCCCAACCCCCAAACCTTAAACCCCGAACCTTGAGCATTAATCCATAAACACTAAACCCTAGACCCCACGTGGTGATTTATACCTCGCCAGAGCAAGTGAAGAACTTTGTAGAATTTGTTTGTGACCATCTTGATCGATTTCTGCTGCCTCTGTTACCTCTGCAACAAACTCTGCATCAATGCCCACGAGAAACCCTTCCGCTGCAAGATCGCTGGGGTTTAATACCCTAGGCGCTTTCTCTTGTTCTTTTAAATGCTTAACAACGCGAGTGTGAGCCGTCTGCATCAGCAGCAACTCGCTGGGGGCTGCATGCAAACCCATTGAAAGAACGCCAACACCCATACAGCAGCAGCAAGAGCAGCAGCAATTCAAAACTCCCACACAAAACAAACCCCAAAGCAGCAACAGAAACACAACCAAACAAACGAGCAAGGATAGACAGCAGAAAAACCAACAGCAGCAACATTTAGACAGAGAAAGGGCACCAAATGCAGCAGCAGCATCATCAAGGCAGCAGCAGCAGCACCAGGGCAGCAACAATATCGTCTTGGTAGCAGCAGCACCATCAGGGTATCACCCACATTAGGGCAGCAGCAGCAGCACAACCACAGCAACCGAACCATCAGGGAAACAGCCGCAGCACAAGCGCAGGAGTGGGACGATCAGGGCAGCAGCAGCAGCACCTAGGCAGCAGCAGCATCATCAGGGCAGCAGCAGCATCACCAAGGTAGCAGCAGCATCAGGTATGCAGCAGGAACAGCAGGGCACCATCATCAGCGCAACAGCAGCAGCAGCAGAAACCAGCAGCACAGCAGCAGCAGAAAGAAGAGGAAACGCACTGAGGGGCTGGAAAGTAACGGGCTCTCTCGGAGCTTGAGGATGCAGCGAGAGATTAACATCAGAAAGAAAAACTCCTGCTGACACCGCACCATCAGGTACCCGAGGGATCGGCACCAACCGACCCCCCACCTCTCCTACCAACTCCATGCTCGGCATAGCCTCGGCGTTCAAACCCTAAGTCCAAGCACAAACCCTAATCCCTAAACCCTAAACCCTAAACCCTAAACTTGCATGCCAGGCACGTAAGCAAAGAAATGGTGCGCTGGGTGTTGCGACGGTTTGAGGTTACGGGGTGAGAAGAAAGCGAGAGTGAACTTGTCTCCGTGGTTTGCATCTATAGGGTTTAGGGTTTAGGGTTTAGGGTTTAGGGTTTACGGGGTTGAACAGAGCCAGGTTGAGGTTGTCTCCGTGGTTTGTGTCCTGTCTTGCGAATGCAAACACAACGGGGAATTTCCAAGGAGAGACGAAGTCAAGCACTGCTCTGGGGCGGCAGTAAGACAAAACAAAGTCATTAACAGAGACCCAGCAACTCTTGCTGCTGCTGCTGCTGCTGCTATTGCTGCTGCCTTGCTGTTGCTGTTGCTGCTGCTGCTGCTCGTCCTGCTGCTGCTCCTGCTGCTGTTCCTGCTGCTGCTCCTGCTGCTGCTTCTGCTGCTGCTGCTGCCTCCGCTTCTCCTGCTGCTTCTCCTCCATCTCGCGCGTGCGGTACGCAGCAGGAACCCTGCAGCAGCATATCCTCAGCAGCAGCAGCAGATTACAAGAGCCCCGGTGTCTAGGGTTTAGTGTTTAGGGTTTAGGGTTTAGCCTACCGAACGTGCAACACCAGGTGGCATCCTGCATCATCTGCTGCTCCCATCTTAGCTTTCCTATCCATGTTTGCTGCTTTCGCGAAGGACCGTACCCTGGGGGCCCCATGGCTGAGAGCAAAGGGGCCCCCTTGGGGCCCCACACCCAAACCCTGGGGGCCCCAGGGGGTCCCGGGGGCCCCCGGGGCCCCCTCCACTGGCATCACAGCAAAGAGGGAAGCTATCAAGTCGTAGCGAACAAACCCTGGGGCCTCATCTTCCCGCACGTCGATGTCCTGATGGAGCCAACCCAAACCCTAAACCCTAAACCCTAAACCCTTAACCCTAAACACTAAACGCCAAACCCGTCATAAGCCTTGGGGCGATGAAGTGCTTTGTAGAGAACTGAGGAATTCTGCCTGGTGGTTTAGGGTTTAGGGTTTATGGTTTAGGGTTTAAGGTTTGTGGGAAGGGTTTTCCTTAGGGGGGAATAATGGTTAAGGGACTAGGGTTTAGGGTTTGAGGTGTACGTACACCGGATCCAAGGCGTATATAAATGCGTCTCCTAATAAACCCTTTTCCTGTTTTGTCTATAGAGCGCCACAAATTAATTTCTTCTGCTTTACTGGCATTTGCTCTCACTAGCAAAAAAGCAGGGAGAGACAACAGCTGCGGAGACACCCGAAACAAGAAAAGGAGACACTTGCTGCAGCAGAGACACCCGAGAAGGGTACAGAGACAGATAAAGAAACACAAAAACAAAGACAGAAAGAAAGAATTGGAGAGAGATAGGCAGACAAAACAAAAACAGAGACAGAAAGAGATACAGAAGAATAAGCACAAAGACAGACAGAGACAGAAGAAGAGACAGATACAGGAGAAGAGACAGAAGAAGAGACAAAGAAAAACAGAGACAGGGAGATAGAGACAGAGACAGAAGAAGAGATAGAAGAAGAGACAGAGACAGAGAAGAAGAGACAGAAGGAGAAACAGGAGGAGAAACAGAGACAGAAGAAGAGACAGAGAGAAACAGAGACAGGGAGAGAGATAAAGAGACAGCAACAGAGACAAAGACAGAGACACCAACGACAAAACGAAAAGGAGACAAGCAAGAAAGGCAAACAATAAGAAGGAGAATTTAAACATCTCTCCAACAGTGAACATGCAAATACATCTCGCAGATAAGTGCAGCCACAGCTACAGCAACAACAGCATAAACAGCAGCACTAACAGCAGCATCAGAAGACCAAGCAGCAGAAGCACCAGCAGCACAAACAACAGCAGCAGCAGCAGCACAACGAGCAGCAGCAACAGCAGCAGCAGCACAACGAGCAGCAGCAGCCGCATCAGCAGCAACACCACCACCAGGGAAAGGAGCAGCACCACAGCAAGCAGCAGCAGCAACAACAGCAGCAACAACAGCAGCACAGCGTGCAGCTAAACAGCAGCAGCAGCAGCAACAGCAGCAGCAGCAGCAACAGCAGCAGCAGAAGCAGCAGCAGCAAGGATTACCTTGGATGATATGGTGCACTCAACGTTTGCTCCGCACCCTTTGCAATATGTCTCTTTATGCAATTCCCTTTGAATAGACTGCCGAAACAAATCACAAAAAGATATTGAAGGAGCTTCATCTTCTGCTGTACCATCGTCTCCTTTGCTGTCTCCTTCTAGGGGGGCCCCCAATCCACCCTTTGGGGATCCCTGACCCGTATTGAGGGAGCCAACGTTGCTGCTGCTGCTGCTGCTGCTGTTGTTGCTGCTGCTGCGAGCTGCTCCTGAGGCGCAAGTGTCTGCATCTGTCCGTTTGCTGCTGCTGCTGCTGCTGCTGCTGGTGCTACTGAGCACGGCCTTGTGTGGGGGCCCCCCCTTGGGGGCCCCCTGCTGAGGGTACAGCAGATCTACGAGGAAGGCCTGAGATGTCTGGGTTGCAGTGTGTGCTGCTCGCATACACTGCGTTGTTGTTTTCTGCTTGAACCCGAAAAGGGCTTCAACAGCAGAAGAGGCTTTTTGCTGCGCGCTGCTGCTGCTGCTGCTGCTGCTGCTACTGCTGCTGCTGCAGGCTTCCACCTGCACACACGGGGTCTCCTCGTTCACGCTACCTGAGGAGACTGATGCTGTAGAGACAGTTGAGGGCCCTGCTGCTGCTGCTGCTTCCATTGATAAGGCCCCCCAGGGAACTGGAAAGGGGACGGGCGGGGGTGCCTGTGGATATCCTGCTGCTGCTGCTGCTGCAGATGGATATCCTGCTGCTGCTGCTGCAGCAGATGGGTATACTGCTGCTGCTGTTGCTGCTGCTGATGGATATACTGCCGCTGCTGAAGGATATACTGCTGCTGCTGGATATACTGCTGCTGCTGCTGGGTATACTGCTCCTGTTGCTGCTGGATATACCGCTGCTGCTGTTGATGGATATACTGCTGCTGCTGCTGCTGCTGATGCTGCTGAGGGCATGCCTTCTGCTGCTGCAGGCCGCAGCTCTTTGTGAATCCTCTCTAAGAGAAAACGAAGACTCAAATGGGTCCGCTGAAGAAGAGTCCCTAGCTCTGCAAAAATAACAAACCCTAAACCCTAAACCCTAGACCCTAAACCCTAGACCACTTGAGTCTGTAGGGTCTGCTTTCATTTCCTAACTAAAGCAAAGGCTCAACCTCATTGTTTAGGGCTTAGGGTTTAAGGATTTGGGGGGTTGAGCAAAAGGGTCTAGGGTTTACAGTTTGCGGGTTTTGAGTGAAGGTTTAGGGTTTGGGTGTTTCCACCGCAGAAAAGGGTTTACGGTTTAGGGTTTAGGGTTTTAGGGTTTGCAGTGTATGGGCTCCGCGAGAGGGTTGAGGACTTGCTGCGTCTGGAGCAGAGTGAGGTTTAGGGTTTAGGGTTTAGGGTTTGCATGGCTAATTAGGGTTCTGCATGTGGGTTTAGGGATAACAATTTCCAGCACAGACAAGGGTTTAGGGTTTAGGGTGTTAGGGTGTTAGGGTTTGCAGTGCTCGCAAGGGTATTGCATAAGGGTTTAGGGTTTACTGTTGTTTGAAATCTTTCTAAAGAGGCCCAGCAAACGAGATTCAGGCAGCTCCAGCAGAAAAGACTCAAAACTGTTGTTGTAACAAAAACGGCGAGACCCCGCACCCACGTCCTTCCTGCGCAGTGTATATACACCCCAACAACTTGCAGTGTACGTACACCTCAACAACTTGCAGTGTACGTACATCTTAACAACTTGCAGCGTATGTATACCCAAACAACGTGCAGTGTACGTACATCCCAACAACTTGCAGTGTACGTACACCTTAACAACGTGCAGTGTACGTACACCTCAACAACTTGCAGTGTATGTATACCCGAACAACGTGCAGTGTATGTATACACCCCCACCAACGTGCAGCTTGTGTTTTCGTTATTATGTGCAAATCTACTTATGTATGAGGGCTTTATCAGTCTACATACATTATATATATATATATTAAATGTATACACGTCTATGCAGAACTTACGGACATATGAATATAAATATATATGTATACATGCAGCCCATATATTTCTATACATTTATGTAATATACAGACATACATGTCTGCATGCATGCAGGTGTATGTTTAGGGCTTGGGTTAATACCTGGCGATATCCAGCATATGTAGGGCCTGGCCGACTTCGCATGCAACGCAGCAGCTTCTGCTGCATGCATGCATTGCAAGTGTTTGTTTGAGTGCAGGAAAAAAGAAAAGAAATTGCAGCAGAGGCCTCAAAAACCCGCGCCTACCTCCACCTTCAAAACAACCAAAGGGAGGGGCCTGAGGAGACGAGACCCCATCAGCATTAATTTCATTTAAGGGGCCCTTCCCCATCCAGGGGGCCCCCGTTAGTTGGTGATATGCATAACGGCTTGGTACCCTAACAGCAACATCGGGGCCCTGGGGGGGCCCCCCTGCAATATCTTGGGGGCCCCCTAGGGGCCCCCCCCACTCATTAGACGAAGAGGGCCCCCCAGCAGAGACTCTTGAACCATCTTTACGCGACATCCACCAGCTGCTGCTGCTCCAGTCGGCAGAAGCAGCAGCAAGACCCACTTGGGGGCCCTTTAAGGGGCCCCCAGGAGGGCTGGAGGGGGCCCCCCCAGTCAGACAAGGAGGCAATGCTGCAGCAGCACCACCTCCAGGGGAGGCGAGCTGGGATCGGATCCCGTATTGCGTGTGGGGAAACGGGGGGCCCTCCATGGGGGGGGCCCCCACAGGGGCCTCTTGGGGGTCCCCTGAGGGCGATGAAGGCGGAAGGGGGCCCCCAGGGGTTAAGAGGGGCCCCCTTTGCTTCGTTGCTCGCAGCAATGCTCTAGCTCTCTTAGTTGGGGCCTCATCTTCATCTGAGTTATCGCTAGCAGAGGCAGAAGAAGGAGACAAATAAACGCAGCTGCTGTCGCTGGGCCCTTTCCAAGGGGGTTTAAAAGAAGAAGAACCTGCTGCTGCTGCTGCTGCTGCTGCAGGTCCTCCAGCAGCAGCAGCACCAGGACCCGCTGCTGCTGTTGCTGTTGGGGGCCTTAACTTCCCTCGCGAGGGGCGGAAGGGGCCCCCAAGTCTCCCGCCCGCAGCAGCAGCTAAGGGGGGCCCCCTGGGGGCCCCCCCTCTTGGGCCCCTGCTGTGTCTTATATCTTGCTGAGTGGTCTCCATTATTGCTGCTAGCAGCATATAACTAGTAAAGAGGGATCCCTTTGAAAGTGAAGGGCCCCCCCTAGCTGTGAGGAGCCCGCATGTCTTGCGGATACAGAGTTCACGTGAGGGGCCGTTGCTGCTGTATAGGATTTGATTGGAAGCAGCAGCAGCAGCAGCTGCTGCTGCTGCTGCTGCGGCAGGAGTACCCGCCGCATGAGGTGTAGAGGCAGAGCAATACCCTCCTCCTGCTGCTGCCGACCCACCGCAAGCAAACAAAGAAAAAGGAAGTGGAGTGGGGGGCCTCATATCATCTCTGTGCAGCAATTCAATTGCATAGTACCCTGTTAACTCTTCATTAGGGGCCCCCAAGGGGGCCCCCCAGGGGCCCCCATGCCCCCCGAGGGGCCCCTCCCAACTGCCGCTGCCGCTGCCGCTGCCGCGCATGCTGCGACGGCCACCCCTCCTGCTGCTGCTTCCCCTGCTCTTGCTGCTGCCTCTGCTGCTGCTGTTGTTGCCGCTGTTGCTGCTGCTGCTGCATCCGCAGCGGGGGCCCCCGGGGGGTCCCACATACTTTAGCACAGCCCCGCAAACGGCATCTTCTGGGTTGTTGAGGCTTGAAGACCCTTCAATAGAAACAGGGGCCCCCCATCCACTTTGGGGGCCCCCAAGAGCGGGGGGGCCCCTTAAACATTGCTGCCCAGTACCCTCGGGGGCCCCCCCCCAGTCAGACGCAGTGGGGGGGCCCCCCAGGGGGGCCCCCCCATTCAATTCAGCAGCAAGAGAACTAACAGGGAATACCCACTTTTCAGAGGTAAGATCGCAGCAGCAGGGGGCCCCCTGCAGCAAGGGGCCCCCTGTGCAGCTGCCAGGTGTTGTGCAGCTGCAGCAGCAAGGCTGCAGCGCAAACCCTAGGTTAATGGTGCCGCTGCTGCTGCTGCTGCTAAGTGCTTCAAGCAGCAGAAATTCCTCAGCAAGTTCTTCTATAGCACAGGCCTCACCTCCAGCGCTGCGAATACCGAGTTGTTGCTGCTGCTGTTGCTGCTGCTGCTGCTGCTGCTGTCGCTGCAGGTACCGGCTGCAGCAGAGCGAGACAGTTTCAGGGCCCCTGAGAGCTGCTGCTGTTGCTGCTGCTGCTGTTGCTGCTGGGTCAGAAGACAGCAGCAAGAAGCTATCTAGCCCCGGTAGGGGGCCCATGGGGGGCCCCCAGCTGCACACGCTGCTTTCGTCTCGAGGCCTGCTGCTGCTTGTGCTGCTGCTGCTGCTGCTGCTACTGCTACTGCTGCTTTCGGAGGAAGGATTACGCTGTTGTTGCTGCTGTTGCTGCTGTTTCTGCTGCTCTTGCTGCCGCTGCAGGGCAGCAGCAACCGCTTCCCTGCGTGCTGCCGCTTCAAGCGCCAGCAGCATTTGGTGTTCTTGCTGCTGCTGCTGCTGCTGCAGCAGCTGGATCCTCCCCCCCCACTCACATACCGCTAGGTAAGAGCCTGCTGCACTGCATGCAGCGCAGGTTAGGGGCCCCTCTAAAGGGTACAGAGGGAGAAGCTGAAGGGCCCCCTGTGCAACGGCCTCACTATAGCTGTCGCCTGCTGCTGCTGCTGTTGCTGCTGCTGCTGCACCTCCTCCTCCTACTCCGCTGCCGCCGCTGCTGCTGCTGCTGCTGCTGCTGCTGCTGTAGGGGGGCAGCAGCGAGAGACGCGAGAGGTCTGCTTGAATGGTTATGCCGTCAGCAGAAACTGCTACTGCTGTTTGCTGCTCACCAAACAGCTGCTGCAGCAGGAAGCAGCAAAGCGGAAGCGAAGAAGGGAATAAAGAAAGTGCAAATAGGGGCCTCGATTGCATGCGCATATCAACAAGCCAGCAATGCATGCATGGATCGAAGCTAAACCCTTTGAGGGGGGCCCCAGGGGGGGCCCCCCAGGGGCCCCCAGCAGCAGAACCGCATGCAAGTAAGCTATAAGAAGAAAGAGACAGAGAAGCAACAGCAAATGGAGACAACAGGGGTAGAACATCAGGCAGCAACCCTTTAATACGCCTATCAAGGAAGCGCACGGTGCCGTCTATACACCCGATAGCTGATAAACTATCAGCTCCTGCTGCTGCTGCTGCTGCTGCTGCTGTTGATTGTGCTGCACTCCCTGCTGCTGCTGGTTCTGCTGCTGCTGCTGCTGAGGCGATAACAGAAACGGGGCTTTGCATGCAGTAAGAAGAGACAACCTGGCAGCTAACTAGATCAACAAGACTAGCCACAGGCTGCACACACACCGCAGCAGCAGCAGCAGCAGCAGCAACACAGCAGCAGCAGCAACACAGCAGCAGCAGCAACCAGGCAGCAGACAGAGATAGACATTTAAGCATAACAAACAGGAGGAGACAGACAGAGACAAACAAAGACAAAGAGAGACAAATAAACAAAAACAAACAAACAAACAAACAAAAACAAACAGAGAGAGAGAGAGAGAGAGAGAGAGAGAGAGAGAGAGAGACAGAGAGAGAGAGAGACAGAGAGAGAGAGACAGAGAGAGACAGAAGCAAACATATGACATAAAAACAGCAGCAACACAAATAAAAAATAACAAAGACAAAAATAAGAAGAAGAAGAGAAGAGATAAATAAGAGCAACAAAATAATATTTTACCTGCTCTCCTCCTATAATAACAGCAGAGGCTCCAGCAGCAGAGGGGCCCCCAAGGGGGGCCCCCGCTGTCAATACACCGCAGCAGTGCAGCAGCTGACGCTGCACTGCAGCAGAAAGAAGAGGCTTGCAAAGACCCCCGCGGCTGCAAAGAGACAGCCCCCCACCACACACACCTGCAGCAGCAGCAGCAGAAGCAGCAGCAGAAGCAGCAGCAGCAGCATGATAGCAGCAGCAGGAATGGAGGCCACAGCAACAACACAGCAGCAACAACCAAAGCAGCAGCAGCAGCAACAACAGAACAGCACGAACAAAACAACAACAACAGCAGCAGCAGCAGCAGCAAAACACCCCAGCAGAAGGAGGAAAACCTCTATTTTCAGCAGCAGCAGCAGCTGTTGCTGCTGCTGCTGCAGCAATTAGAGCAAGACATTTAAATGAATAACAGCACTTGTACTTGCTCCCCCAGCCTAAAGCATTCAGGGTTTAGGGTTTAGGGTTTAGGGTTTACAGAGGATTCCGGCGTGCAAGGGGATAAGAGAGCGAACAGCAAGATCTGCTTCGTGTGTGTCTCCGTTGCTGCTGCTGCTGCTGTTGCTGTTAATTGCTGCAGCAAATGAGCTGCATATACACCCCAACTCAGCAGCAAACGTAGACACTGTCCCTTCTCTGGTTCCTACACAAAGGAGGCCCCCTAGGGGGTCAAATGCTGCAGCAGAAGGGCAGCAAAGAGGGGCCCCTGCTGCAGCAGCAGGTATCTGCAGCAGCTGCACACAATCGTTCCATACAGGCAGCAGCTGGGGGCCCCCCAGCTGCTGCTGTTCTTCTACTTTCATACTTAAGGGCCCTCTATACCCTTCTATGCTGCTGCTAGACATGCAAACGGGGGGCCCCACACAACACCCTCATAATCAGAGCCTCGAAATCTCTCTCTGCTGCTGCTGCTGCTGCTGTGGCTTCGTTTGCTGCTGCTGTTGCTGCAGCAGCTGCTGCTGCACAGTAAGATGCAGCGGCTGAGGGTTTTCCCCCCTTCTTCTGAAGCTTCTGAGTCTGCTGTTGCGAAGAACAGTGCTTCTGCCTTTGGTGCTGCTGCTGCTGCTGCTGCAGCTGAAGTTGCTGCTGCAGTTGCTGTTGAGTGGCCGTGAAGAACTCGTGCTGCTGCTGCTACTACTGCTGCTGCTGTATTTATATCAACGGTTTGCTGCTGCGGTGGAGGGGGGCCCCATGCATGCAGCAGAGCGGGGTTGGGGCCCCCCTTCTGTGTGCCCTTAATTGTGTTGTTTGGGGTGTATACGCAGCTGCAGCAGCAGCAGCAGCAGCAGCAGGAGTAGCAGCAGCAGCGCGATGCCGCTGGCAGATAATCCAGAGCCCCCTGGGCCCCCTGACGTTATGACAGAAGCTGCTGCATGCAGGGGGGCCCCACAGTATATTTATTTTGCTGCAGAGCGTAGATATATTTGCTGCTGTTTAGGGGCCCCCCAGTGTGCTAGGAAGCAGCAAAGAGTTTTATTTGCTTCCTAACCCTTTGTTTATTGCTGCAGATTAATCTTAATAATAATATTTTCTTTTATATAAAAATAATAACAAAAATAGCAGCAAATATTTACTTTTAAGCGGAGGGCCCCCTTGGGGGCCCCCTTCGCTTTGAGCTCTCTCTCTTACTGTGTATATTATATATATTATATATATAAAAAGGATAATAACGATGAAGAATTTTATAATATTTATTTGATTTAAATTAATTAATTGAATTAATTAATTAATTTATGTTTAAATATATTTATTTTTATGCATTTGTTTGTATGTATTTGTTTTTGTTTTGCTGCTCGGGGTGCTTCGTGTTTGATATTTTTTGTGTTTTGTTTGTTTATTATTGTTGTTTATTTGTTTATTTTATTGTTATATTTAATTATTTATTTGTTTTATTGTTTCTTTTGCTCGTTTTTTCTGCTATTTATCTGTGCTGGTGTATATATAAGCGCTCCTCTGCTTGCTCTGTTGTTTTATTTATTTATTTATTTATTTATTTATTTATTTATTTATTTATTTACTTCTGCATTTCTTTTTCTGATTTCTTCTCGTTGTTCCTGGCTTTATTTAGTTTGCCTTCTCTCTATGAAAAACACCTCTTCATATATATAATATATAATATATATAATATATATAAT